TTATAGAAATCAAATTACCAATTTAGGTAGTAAACGGCTTAGCCGGCTAAGGATTTTTAAACGGCTAACATCACTAGTTCAAGGTAATGTGCGTGCCTCATATTGAATTGTTTCATATTCAGTGGTGTGCTGCCTTGATGTCTTCATGTAATTATATATTTACATTACTGATTACAAAAAGCAAAATACCAATCATTTATTTTGTTGTCATCTTGATAAGGATCTTATAATTACACAGAGAGTTCTGCTCCGTGTTTTGATTTCAATAACATATCAATCCAAATTAAATATAGTTACCTCTGGTCAGTTATTAACATGTCTTCAGAGCCATGCCAAACAACATCATTCGTGTTTTGTCATCTTTGAAAATAAATTTTTTTCCAAAAAAAGTCAATCGCGTGTCAACAAAAAAAACACAAAGTGCCAATAATTTAATAGTACGCGTCGATCAAATAACAAATTCTTTAAAGATTACTCAAATCCCGTAACACTGCTTTTTTCCTTACTTGGGATAGATTGTATGATTTTTTTTTTTGTTAAATAAACAGTGGTACGGAAAATATAGAATGGCTCACTTGCACATCCTCGATTACAAAACTTGTTAATTATATAATTATTATTTTGACTTGAAAAGCTTGTATATATCAATTTTTCTGTGAGCCATTTCACAAGAATTCTATTTTAGTAAAATACAACGTTTATCAAAAGCACGTCGCTATCTTTCTTATCGTTAACATCGTCATCAAAAAATCTAATTTTTTATTAGTGACAATAATTTATTAAAAGTCTTCAACTTCAAATTCAAGATGAAGGAAATAAACTTATTAGCCTGATGACTAGTTTACCATCAAAAGGTGACATAAGCCTAATTTTAGTTATTTATTAGTTATACTTTGCAATAAATTTCGCTGACTAAAATTAATAAAGAACATAATAAAATATTTTTCTATTATCATGCAAACTATACATCAACTTTTACAATCATCAACATCAGTCAAAGTATCGTCATCGTTACCATCAGATTCACATCAACATCAACATCAACATCAGCTAAAGCATCAACTCGGTACCAGCTCTAGTTTCAAATTCTATTTCAACACAAGTAGTTTTGCCATCTTCAGCATTAGCAGTAACTTCTAGTAATTGAGATCAATGTTCTAAATTAAAAGCATGACTGATTAATTATAATTGTACTGTCGGTTTTATATAGAGGAAATAATAATAATAGAATTAGTTTGTTAGGTGTAGGCTGTTAAATATGGAGACTAATGAAGCAATATAGATAATTTTTTTATCGAAATTAAATCCAAATGAATTATCATTACGTCTGGTGGACCTTATAGTCAACGCACGAAGCCACCAGCAAATAAAGTTAATTCTTCTTTCGACCACCGAACAATTGCTAAGGAATTAGAGTTGTATTTAGTAAAGAACAAGCAGGTCAAGGTCTCCCGCTCTTACTACTGAATTGAGTAATAATTCGTGGTAAAATAGTTGAATTTTTACAAAAAAAAAACAGCAAAAGTTTGGATTTCAAGGGGTACGCAATGATGGATCTAGACCAGCTTGGTCATTGTAAAGTTCTTGTTCTTGGGTTTCAATTGGGCTCATTTTAATTTTTATTTTAATAACAGAGTTCTGGAAATTTATCAAATTTATACATGTAGAGCACCTACAACTTTTGCTACAACACCACCAATTTTGAGAAAATATTAAATCTTAAAAACGAGGGAATTAATTTTTCTTACAAAATTTCTATTAGTATCTTATTCGAAGAGTTTGTTTGATCTGAATTATTCAAATAGGATCCCAGACAGTAAAAATCAGAACTTTTTCTCAAGATAATTCGATTGATTTATTACCTAAGAATAATTCATTTGACTTGAATAAATAGAAACTCTGCCTACTTTTAAGCTATTCACATGACAAAATGATTGGTAATTCGACATATTGATTATGTAACAATTTGGAGTTAACATAGTAAACTTGTGCAGATTTAAGGTAGGGAATAAAGGACTTGGATTTAATTAGCAATATTTCTATTTAACAGACTTATAGATATTGTGAGAACTTTTTGTAATTCTAGAAAGTTGTATCAGAGTTAAAACAACAAAACTTTATAAAATTCATTTGAATGTAATACGGACAATTGAACATGTTTATTAAAAAGTTTTTTTATAAAAATAAATGCGTTCCAACCATGCCAGCAGCAGTAGTGTTTGTTCCCAAAATTATAGAATTTCACAACTGTGACAATCAAAAGTTTCGCCATAAGTCGAAACTGGTTTTGACTTTTGCCTCTTCAAAATAGTTTTGACAACTAACACTAACCAGCAGCAGAATGACCAGCTTGATTGTTATGTTTATAATTATTATCCAGACATATATCCAAAGAATTCAAAATCACAATCATTATATCAACCTTATCACATCCATCACATACACATCATAAACAACGGCCATAAAATAACCAGCAAACTGATCTGATTGATTTTGGATTGATGACAAAAACCCACAACAGAACCTTATGAAAACTATTCATGCATGCGATCACATCATGCAGTGTGCCCAAAGTGTGAAATGATGCAAGACAGCTTATAATTTGCATATATAATTTCTAAATTTGATAATATATATTTGTACAGTCAACCCTCTCTAAGTGCACACTCTCTAAATGCACTCACTATGTAAACCCTCTCTAAATGCACTGTCTCATTCCCAAACTTATAATGAGCTTATAAAATTACCCCCTCTAAATGCACACCCTCCCTAAATGCACATTTATGAGAAATGATGTTATGTTCCCAAGGAGGATGAGGTGCACTTAGAGGGGGTTGACTGTATTACTTTCTGGTTATAGCAATAAAATTACCAATTTAGGTATTAAACGGCCTAGCCAGCTAAGATACATCAATTTAAAGTGTGAGCTAATTTAATATGTTTACTATGTGTTTGGAAAGCCAAATTGAAACATTGGACTGAGCTCATATACAAATAGTTCCTAATTTGGAATAATATTTTGTCTTTATTTGTAAATAATTGAGCCCCAGATATAAAAAACTTTCAAATGACCATTTTAAAAGGTATTTCTTTTAATGAAAGTATAAAATTAATCATATTTGTTATTTTCATTTTATTTACTTTTATTTGTTATAATGATTGGATTGTTGGATGCATATTAATAATGGTGATGGTAAAATCAAAAAAACCATAGAAAATCATAATAATCAGAATGAAGATGAAAAAGGTTATGGTGAGGATAGTGATAATAATCTTGAAGTAGGTGAACATCAAAATAACAAAGTATTTTCTTGCACAATTCCAGATTGTGAAAAGACCTATAAAACTTGGGGATTACTTAAGCAACATAGTAAAATTATGGTGAAAAATTTTTCAAGTGTGAATATCCTGGATGCATTAAAGCATTTCATTATAAAGCAATTTTAGT